AAAGTGAGGCAGCTTAGAAAATAGGACTTGAAGTCACCTGGTCTCACTGGTTTCCAATCCGTGTTCCTCAGAACTCTTCTATTCTGCAAGAGCTTCCTGGGCCTCTTGGAAATAGGAATGGAGGCCACCCCTGTGTCAAAAAGAGTACCCCGCATTTCTGTGTTTTACATATTGATGGGTGGCATATGGTCATGTTTGGAAAAGGGTTCTGCTGCTTATAAAAGGCTGGAAAAGCCATCCAATCACCTGCGTAGGAGAGCTTAGAGAAGGGGAGGTGACTATTCCAAGGTCACTGAGTGGAGCACAGAGTGTGAGCCGAGGGGCGGAGTCTAACAGGTCATCTTTATCACTCAGGACAGCAGAGGCAGGTCAGATGCTGCCAGTAGCATGGCCCGAAGGGTGAACTGCCAAGCTCAGGGTTGGGCCAAGCTGTTATATATTTCAGTGGGCTTTGGAGGGATGAAATGGGTTGGCAAGTTGACAGTCAGTCACTCAGTGTGAACACCAGTTTAAAAACCTCACCTGGAGCCTTCTTCCCGCTGTGGTGGGATCCATTTGTGTGGTTCACCCACCTGAAGGCCCACGATCAGGCAGGATGATTTTCACTCAGAGTCTGTGCCACCTCAGATCTTGTTCTAAAGCTTTTCTAAATAAAAAGGCTCTTGGACACAGTACCTTTTTCTTTTGTGTGAAAACGCCTTTCTGGTAGAGTGGCAGATTGCTCTGTGCCCCCCAGCCACAGTGCTGTGGATGGGGCTTTGCAGTTCAGCCCGACAAGAGAATACAAGCGAAAGCAAGATGGGTTTTTGTGGTCAAAGTTGTTGATGTTAAAAAAAAATAACTTTGATCATAAAAAGTAATATGGCCATCAAAGGACATTTACCAGTGCAGAAAGAGGTAAAAAAAACCCCAACAAACCTATAATTACATCACTCCTATTAACATTTCAGAGTTATTCCTTCTGGCCTTTTAAAAATTATTTTATATAAGATAGAAGGAACATGTGTCACAGACTGTCCACCTGACCTGGGGTGAGTTCTTAATTTCTTTTGACTTCCGTTCCCTCATTGATAGTAAGTAGGTGCTCAGTAAATGGCACACCTGCCTGAGAGCATAGTGTGTGCAGTTATATATCCTTTATTTTTTATCTATCATGAGCCTTATCTTAGGTCTATAAGCCTTTTGTAAACATTTTTCAGGACTCATAATTCCATCATTAGGATGTACCATAAATGTATTTAAGATTTTCATTATTGTAAGGTATTTAGGTTGCTTCCGGATTGAGGCTTGTTTCCATGGCCAATTATAATAATGATAATTTTCATAATTAAGAACACTAAATAGCGCTTGTCATTAGGAGCTGAAACAAATTAGGTTTTTGAGCTGCAGCTTCTGGATGGCAGAGGTTGTTGTAGGGAAGGGGTGTGTTAACAGGGCTACTGTCTGCGCATACTTCCTGTGTCCCCGTGGAGTGCCAGTGGGCATTTCTGGGCAGTGCCTCAAATGCCCTGGACCCTGGAGTAGAAGGTTTTCCTCTTGTCCTCTGGTGTTTCAGACCCTCTTAGCTGTTGGGCACTGAAGAGCTGCAGCCCCAGTTTTGGGTCAGCCCTAGCTCTGCCCTCAGGGAGTTCCTGTTCCATTGGGGAGATAGACGTGAAACCAAAGATTAGTGTCCTGTACGGTGAAGATGCTCAGGAAAGTGGAGTCAGCACTTTCTGGTGAGGGTGTGGGTCAGAGGGCTCAGGAGGGGGGTGCTGTGGCTGAGTCTGGAAAGATGGGACATGCTTTTTGAGGGGTGTAGGTGGAGAGAGGAAGTGAGACCAGACACATGCACCAGCAGGATCAATGGCCGGGAGGTGGGAAATGGCTCTGAATGTCTGACATTTGCTAGAATTTGATGTGGCTGAACATAAGCTGGAGACCTTAGCATGAGTGGGGACAGCGGCCGGCTTGGAGGGACTGTGTACCATGACTGCCTCATCTCTGGGTCTCCAGTACTCAGACACGGCCTGGCCCATGGTGGGCCCATGGTCTATGGAGGCTGAACATTTTCATGAACAGCTTTAGCTAAAGTTCTCAACTGTATTTCTCATGATGTTTGGCAAAGTTCTGCGAGTTGGTTCATCAGGGGATGTGTGGACATGCTGGAACATACTAGGTGTGGTGATATATGGGAGGCCTCTGCTGCCTGAGAGATGAGTGATTCCTGCCAGGAGGTGCCAGGAGGAAAGTCCAGACTCAAGAGTAACTGTGTCTGAAACCAGGCCTGTGATTTATACCAGGATGTGGTTCCAGAGACTCCTAATTACAGGCACTGAGCTAATAAACCAGCCAGCCAGCCTGAGGGCATCCCAGGTCTAATCGTCCAGAGTGGGACGTGCTTTTATTGGAGCACTTGGCAGCTCAGTGGCAGCCCTGGCACCCACAGGTGTGCTCAGTTATTTCAGGGTTGACTCATCGCCTGCATTTTCATGCTGTGCGTCTCAGTGCTGCCCTAGGCTGCCACTCCTCAGCCCCACTTGAAGGGTGGGGAGGTACTGGGGTTGAGAGGCACAGGGAAAGGGAGGGAGGCCAAGATCTACTGATTGAAGCTGTGTGCCTGGTGCTTTGCTGGGTACTGTATACACATCTATGCTTTGATCCCCATGAAAAGCACTTAGAATAGATGTTGGTATCTCCACTTCCAAATGAAAGAAAGCAAGCTTGAGAGCTTAGGAACCTTCATCAGGATGACACAGTGAGTAGAGTAAGTCAGTTGCGTGTTGACGCCAGAGCCCATGACTATTCCTTTTCATGTCCTGCTCCAGCTCTGCCTTCCTTGTAGGGTGGTGGTCTGGGCCTTTTCATTGAGATCTTGATGGTATAGTGCAGGGGTCAGCAAACTGTGGCTCGCGAGCCACATGCGGCTCTTTGGGTACGTTCCGTCTCAAAAGTTTGCCGACCCCTGGAAGAGCCAATCCTGTCCCTCACAACAATTTAAAAATTATTCGAGAGCCATAAATATACTTTTACATAATCACCATTATGTGAATAATATCCTTTAAAATTTTTATAAATGAAACTATGATAGTTTTATTTTCATTTTCAATTTTACTTCAGAGCCACAGTTCTTGAGCTGCAGTTTGCTGACTCCTGGCGGCTCTTCTGTCTCAGAAGTTTGCTGATCTTGGAATAGTGCAATCTTAGGGATAGCAGTGAAAGCCCAGGCTCCCAGCCTTATTACTGTCCGTGTAAGCAAGTTGTCATTGCAACTACCTGGGCCTCGGTTTCCACATCTGCAAAATGGGAATAAACATCAATGTCTGTGCTTTTCGGGGGTTGTGTGGGAATCAGAGCAGATGGTATGACTGGGAACCCTGTTGCCACCAGTCCTGCATGGACGTGCTGTAACAGGGCTTGGGATGCGGGTTCCTCTCTCTTCTTCCTTCTTCTCAATTTCTAAGTGGGACCTGTGAGTGGAGCCCAAGGCATAGAGTTCAGGCTGAGTTTTCCTCTTTAAGAAAAAGGGCGTCAGAGCTGATGGATCTGGGTTTTCTCTCTGTTTTGCCACTTAGCAGTATGTGTGCGACCTTTCATCAGACCTTGATCTCTTTGAGCTTTGGTTTCTTGTCCAGAAAGTGGGAGAAGTACTATCATGTCAGTCTATTAGGCTTAAATGAAACAAGTACATTTGGTGTTTGTCACTAAATGTTGGTCCTGTACCTTTCGCACTCTAGGAGCTGGTGCTCTGGGGACCACCAAGATATGGTGCGTTCACAGACTTATTTTTCCTTCAAACAGCTGCAGGTGCATAGAATCATCATCCACTTCCATTCAACTGTGTTTTGAACTAACATGTTTAAGACTACGTGACAAGGCCTATGCTGGAGCTGGTGATACGCCTGGGGCTGGCTATATGGCTGGGGCTGGCGATACAGCTGTGCCAGGGCAGACTCACTGGGTTGCTCACTGGGGTGGGGGTTGGGAGCGGAAAGATACAGGACGTTATCATACCCATACGTATATGTGGGCATAGAGTTCTGGGCGGTGCTGTAAAGGAGAAGTTCATGTGCTGGGTGTCCAGGGAAAGGCCCCCTGAATGATAGGCCAGGTCTGATGGATAATATACAGGGAAGAGGATGGGTAGAGTGATTGGGAGAAGACTGTCTTGAGAGGTGGGTGTAAACTGTGGACCTGACTGCTCGTCAGCAAGGCCCAGGCACAGGGAACAGGGTGCAGAGAGGCCAGGTTTCAGCAGCCAGGAGATTTTAATGTTTATCAAGGGATAGTGCCTCCTGGGGCAGTCTGGAGACCCAGGTGGAACTGGGACCCGTGCTGTGAGTCCCAGCTCTGCCACTGAGCCTCTGGGTGTCTTTGAGCCCTAGTCCTTTCTGAGACACAGTTTTTTCCCATCTGTTGCCTGTAGTTTGTTTGGGCCTCACAGATAAACCTGCTTTGGAAACTACAGAGTCCTCACACAGGTGTAAGGGGTCATCATGACCTCAGTCCACAGGGATTTGGAGTGACTCATAAAAATTCATACAGTATATCAAATATATGGTGATAGAAGGAGAACTGACTCTGGGTGGTGAATGCACAATGTGATATATAGATGATGTATTACAGAAGTGTACACCTGAAACCTATGTAACTTGACTAACCATTATTACCCCAATAAACTTTAATTAAAAACAAACAAAAATACATCCAGTATAAAAGGGAACATTTAGTAGTGGTCTAGAGGGATATTACTGATAAAAAGGCAGAAGCTGGGCCAATGATGAGCACTCAAAATTCACTTCACTGTATCTTCCTGAGCATTTGCAGAGGTAGGTAGACTGCTTGATTAACTCTTGGCCGTCTGAGCAAAAAGACAAATCAGGTACTTGGTTCACGATGCCCTTGAGATATTAGGGGGGAAAGTGACTGTGGAAAAGCATAATTTTTTTTTCCTTGCACTGAGGCTGACTCTGGCAGGGCCACTTTTTGTATCGATAACTGCTCGTTTGTCTCATTTACAGATCTGCTGGAAGCACTGGGCAATGAACTGGAGACTGCAGCCCAGAGTGGTCTGAAGCCGTTTGGGAAAGCAGAGGGAGTCCTGGGGAAGATGGCCATGGCCCCAAGCCCTTCCCTGGCTCAGGTGTACACCAGCCCCGTGGCTGTGGCCGTGTGGGAGTGGCAGGATGGGCTGGGCATCTGGCATCCCTACAGTGCCGCTGTCTGTAGCTACATCGAGCAGCAGTTTGTCCAGCAGAAGGGCCAGCGCTTTGGGCTTGGGAGCCTGGCCCACAGCATTCCCTTAGGCCAAGCTGACCCCTCACTGGCCCCTTACATCATCGACCTCCCCAGCTGGACTCAGTTCCGCCAGGATACTGGTAAGACATCTGCCTCTAGTATGAGTCCGAGTGCCTGCTTTGGGCTAGGGGCCATGCTAGGTATTGGGGTGACAAAACTGATTTTCAGAGCTTAGTCGTGCCCCTGAAATGCACATAGTTGGGGGGCGGGTCCTGCGTGATAGCAGGTACCACAAATGTGAGATGTACAGGAAGTCCTCACTTAACATTGTCGATAGGTTCTGTGACTTTTTTTTTTTTTTTTAAGATTTTTTTTTTTTATTGGGGAATTGGAGGGATGGGAACAGTGCTGGGGAATTGGGGGAAGGGGAACAGACATGTTGCTGTCGTTTTGTTCTTCAATCTAGTTGTGGAGGATGTTGCTTCACTGGCCCAAGTTGACACCATCATTGTGCTCTTCCCTGGCGAGGCAGATCAGTCGCCGGCTTCTGGACGGCCGCTCACTCACTGCGGCTGCTGGCCGCTCACGCTGGCTGCTGGCTACATACGGTAGCCCATGGCAACCCACTGCCACAGGGGTTGCAGCCTACGCCGTCGCCAGTGACTCACGGCAGCCCAGCTCCAGGTTGAGCTGTTGTTCAGCATCTTAGCTGTAGAGGGCAGTGTCACTGGCCCTCATATATGGGATCCGAACCGGGGCCCTCTGGCGTCCCAAGCCAGTTTTTAACCATCACGCCACTCAGCCGGCCCCTGTGACCTTTAAGTGAAACGACGTGTAATGAAACCAATTTTACCACAGGATAATAGATATAAACAAGAATTAAGTTCCTATGGCATCTCATCAACATTTGAATGAAATGACATTATTCGTTATTTGAGGACCTACTGTACATCTGGAGGGTGCCTTGGGAGCATAGTGCAGGGGCCCTCCCAGCCCTTCTCCCCCATCTCCCAAACCAGAAATGCCTGCCTCCTCCTGCAGAGATGGGAGGCTCTCTCTGGCAGGCAGCTGGCACAGAGGTAGTGTGCCATGCTAGCTAAAAGGGTCTAGACATGAGTTCTGGCTCCAGTGCACCATAGCTGTGGGACCTGGGTAAGTTACTTCACTGTCCTGTGCACTCAGGTTTGGTTTTTTTTGTATGTTTTGATCAGTACTACTGAGAATGGAGCCACCAACTTCCTCCCAGAGCTGTGCCCTGAACCTTTAATCCTCTGGTGACTTTGTCCCCCCAGACATTTGACCATGTCTGGTGACATTTTTGATTGTCATGACTGTGGGGCGGAGTGCTACTGGCATCTAGTGGATAGAAGCCAGGGATGCTGCTAAACATCCTACAATGCACAGGACCGGCCCCATGACAAAGAATTATTGGCCCAGAATGTCACTTGTGCCGAGACTGAGAAACCCTGCTTTGATCCCTGTATCAGTGAGTAAGAACTAAGCCTTCCAATCAGTTGGATACAGAGAAAAGTCCCTGCCTTCATGATCTTAGCAGGCAACTGAGAAAGGCAGCAAACAAGATAAATACTGTGTAAGCTGTTATTGTGTTAGATAGCAGCAAGTGTTAACCAGGGAATGGAAATGTGAAGTGTTGGGAGAGGTTTTTTTGAAATTTGAGCTTGGGTGGCACTGGCAAGGGATGGAGCCAGACCTGAGGGAAGGGAAGGAGGGAGGGGCGGCTTGTGCAAGGCTTTCAGTCCATTAAAGGGACTGGTTTTATTCTGAAAGGGAGCCATGGAGGGGTTTGGGCACAGAAGTGACATATCTGATCTGGGGTTGTTTCCCTCTGGCTGCTGGAGACTGGGTAGAAGGTAATTGCAGTCATCTTTTGGCAAATGCTATTGGGATCATGGTCCAAATTGATTTTTTTTTTCTCCTTAATCTTCAGCTTTGATTTTATTAAGAATATAAGCTAACCACAGGGTGTTACCCAACAGTTGCTACTTGAGAAGTCAAAGGGAATGAGTGGTACATCCATGTAAGAGAATTATGTAACAATTAGTAAGGAGTTTTACAGAGTTTTAGAGACACAAGAAATACGGCATAATACATGAAAATAGCTGGAAAAGTTTTCACTATGATTGTCAGCTCCCTGAATGTATGTGCGTGGAAGACTAGATGGAAAGAAATGCATTCTAATATAAATTGTGCGCTTTTCTCTTGGAGGTTGGATTATGGATGATTTAATTTTCTTTATACTTTTTTATTTGCAGTTTTTTGGGGATTTTTTAGCTGAGCCATCCTGCCACCTGTTGGTAGCTCAGCAGCAGCTCAGCTCGGGCCGGGAATTGAACCGTTTTTGCTCAGAGCTCACACTCTTGAGCGAGCTCTTAACTAACTGAGCCACTGGGCTGGCCCTCTTTGCAGTTTTTTTAAGTGAGGCTATATAGGTTTCATCATTAGAAATATATATATATATATTTTTTAATGGGGAATTGGGGGGATGGGAACAGCGCTGGGGAATTGGGGGAAGGGGAACAGACAAGTTGCTGTCCTTTTGTTCTTCAGTCTAGTTGTGGAGGATGT